GACTTCCTCTACGTAAAGCTGTTTCTATTTCATAAAAGGAGAAAACGAAAGAGACTAATTTCACAGTTCCTGTAATCTAGGGATCAAGGGTTTAATTAATTGAATAATGGGGGCTTTCACGGCTCTTGAGTTTTCAAGTTATGTTTTTAACCCTTTTAGGTGAATGCTATGTGTTAAAAATTGTTGCTTTATCCACCTGTTTACGTCATGGAAACACAACGTTACCTAAGATAAAGTGTTAGGAATGGGAAAGCAACCACCGGTCAGACAGCGTTTGTGTAGACTGTTCACAGTTCCCAATTTTTTCTTGAGATCGTTTAGATATACCGCGTCTTCAAATGTACCAAGGGTGCCGGCGTCGGGGATTGTAGCTCTAGCGGGGAGGAGGGGGGGGGGCGAGAAAATAAACGGACTGTTATAACATCACTGCAGCTCGCGTTCACGGAGGGCGTTGTACCAGCAACGCAGGCGTTTGATTGGTCATTAGACAATATATGTTAATTTGCGCTGACAACGGGTTTAGTTTAAGTTGCCGACACTGACAAGTCGACGTTTCCATAAAATGTACGCTTTCATGCCATAAGGCACATCTTGCGCAAACACACGAAGGTTTTTTGATATTTTGGTTAGAAAAATGTTTTCTTGAGTATATTTGCCGGTTTTATTTCGAGAAATGGCGGAGAAACATTATAAAATCACTATTTCGAAAGGAGATATTTGTAAACACACGTAATCGATGCTAAATGTGTCTGGCATGTTTTTCATCACCAGTGGAGTTTCTTAATTAATGAATGGTAAAAGGCGTGAATTGAAATTCCTGTCACACCTCCTGAACGCGAGCTGCAGTGATGTTTTTTACAGTCCCTCTATTTTTCTCGCCCCCTAGGTAGTTTTGACACTCATGCAAGATGGCAGCCCGTAACGCAAAGCGCTCGATTTCGATGATCTTACCGAAAAATATAGGACTGTGAACAGTCTCGCGTTTGTGCATCGTGTGAATGTGCTTTTTCTTATTTAAAGATAAGCCTTTGATATGCAGGAGGCGACAATCACGTAGCCTGTGAACAGGCTCTCTGTTTGGGGAAAAAAATAGCAAGGAAAGGAAAGGGAAAGTAGGGTGGGGGGGAGAGGCCTTTTCGCTTTTCCCTCTCCCTAGTTCCCCGCTCGACCAAAGGCCTGTTCACAGGCTCACAATCACGTGGAAGGCACCTGAACCATTGTTATTATATTGTAATACAAAACCAGTTGCCTATATATTCAATAATTTTGCTCATTTCTTGCATATTGACGAGTTTTTTCCCTGCCTTTGTAAGTTTTCTGGATTCGGCCTCGTTTCCATTTTGGATGATGGGGAGCCAAGAATGAACACCCTCCTGACAGTCGAAACTTTTAAATTTCGAGATGGGAACAGCTATATATTTAACCAGGGCGATAAAACGAAGATTTTAAGCCATCTAGCTAAAATTTTTAGCAAAAAAAATCCCTTTTTTTTTGCTACACCGTCTCCTGTGGCCCGTTTCTCGAAAGTCCCGATCATTAACAGGCACGTAAAGCTGTTGTTGTTTACATGATAAAACTTTCAGTTAATGAAACAAAATGGAGTATTTTACTAGCCAGGACCCACGCTCCTATTCTTTTTATTTCGATCTGAATATTTGATTTCGGGCCTGAGAAGTTATCGGGACTTTGGAGAAACGGGCCCCTGACTACAAGTTGTTGCTTCATCTTTTGTGCAAAGTGACCGCCTATTCATGAAACCGCAAAAAAATTTGCCTGAGCAAAATAGTTGAATAGGAAGTATGCGTTAACAATTGTCGTGATTAATAATTAAACCAACTTACTAATGGAGGAAGCAAGTTGTCAAAGCCAACTGTTTATTTCAGATCGAAATAGAACGGTTTGCTAATGAGAAAAGCAACGGAGCAAGGAGTACGATAACTAAAAGTTTCTTCCAACACGGTAAGCTAAAGTAAAAGCTATACAAATACTATCAAGGGTTTAATTAATTGAATATGGGGGGGCTTTCACGCCTCTTGAGTTTTCAAGTTATGTTTTAAGCCCCTTTTAGGTGAATGCTGTGTGTTAAAATTTGCTACTTTATCCACCTGTTTACGTCATGGAAACAGAACCTAAGATAAACAAGAGAGGATAAAGGGGACAGAGAACGCATCCCCCATACACACCCTATTCCATATTAGGTAATTCGTCTCGAGTTATTTTTAGAATCGGGAAAAAGTTACCTCGCGAGCTGCGTGGGTCAGTTTCGTGGAGGTTTCGCATGACTAAACGCCATGCAAAACATGTCGGGCGAAAGGTAATGAAAGCGTAAAGAGATTGAGAGCATTTTGAATATTGAAGCGAAATGAATCGGCGCTCACCTGGGAAAAGGGAATTGCTTTGACAACCCGTGAAATTAGTTTAACTCGAAGTTGTCGTAGCCTCAGTGCGTTAATAAAATGAGAAATTTCGCCGGTCTATTGAAACCGGTCGTTGGAATAATAGGGACCTTAAGATACGAGGACGGGGAGCCAGGACGGCGACGGGGCTGGATGAGGAAGACTAGGTCGAGCCCCGTCGTGCCCGCCCAAAAAAAAATACTTAAGAGCAAACAATTTTCACTTGGGACGGCAACGGCGATATTTCTTTCACAAACAAATATGTCGACCTTTAAAGACGCTAGGACCTTTCTTCTAAAAAGCTACTTAGACGTTGTGATAGACGACGATGCATTTATTCTACTATGCAATGAGAGCTTCTTGAAGAAGCCAAAATCTCCAGATGAATTTTTTTTATTTTTACTTGCAATAATGACATCAAAATACAAGAATACAGAAACAACACACTAAACTCCTCTAGTGCCACTTCAATGCTGCTCATGCCGGTTTCAATTCCACCTGTTTTTTTTTCTCTTTTTTTCAGTTTGCTCCTCAGTTCTTTAGCCACGCGAGAAGGTTGTAGCGATCTCGAACTGCCCTTTTGTCAACTGTGAAATAAACAGCTTCAATTTGGTTCAAGTTTTCAGCGACCTCTTCCCTTTTCTTTCCTCTCGCTACAGGGCTCTTTTTTGTCCCAGTGAAGGGATCAACAACCATGATTTCCTGGCACATTTCATCGTGAAAAGAACTCCATACCACTGGCTTCCTAAAAATATTAGAATCCAATTCAGGCGTATAAATCTTTAGTTAAAAAATGAAATTGCTTTTCAAATGAGCAAAAGGTAAACACCGCCGGACTGTCAGGAGGTACAAGTCAAAGAAACCTTCACTGAACCTTTTTCTACTCGATTGTTACTTCACTGTAACTGGATCTATTTTAACTTCACTTACACTGATTTACTTTTCTTCACTGGGCACTCAGGAACATTCATGGTCGCGACTGCAAAACAAACAAACAATGATGAACATAAATTATGGCCTTTTTTTCTCATTTCGAAATATTTCCGACAGAAATCGTGAAGAATATGATCTTAAGAAACACTAGGGTCAGAATATCTGAAAAGGGAATCGATATCGCCTTATTGTAGGTGAAAACAAGCCGCGAATACTCACGTTTTCCAGACGACGGCAAAACAGCCTGAATGGCGTCCTCGGCGAGACCAGGACGGCAAGAACACGAGTTTGGGCTTCGTGTGCGCATACCTCGTTGTGCAAATTTACTTCCGGTAGCCGTCGTAGCTTGTCCCGTCCTCGTATCTTAAGGTCCCTAATAAAGCAAGTAGGACGCCAAGTGTCATTTTTGTTGAATAATAAAACACTAATAAAAGAATATTATATCAAACCAGAAATTGCTCTCTTCAAACTGTAAATTATAAATGATCCTGAGAGAATATTCAGTGTGTCAAAGATTTCCCTGCTGTACTTTTAGGTCTATCCAAAAGAGGGTGTGTATGGGGGATGCCTTCTCTGTCCCCTTTATCCTCTCTTGTTTCCATAGAGAGAAATGGTAATATTATGTGTGAGATAAAGTTAGTCGTGTAGAAAGTTAAGGCGTCTTCCGTGGCAAACCACTACTCCAATGTGATTTGCTGTAAATCTTTTAAAAGAAAGCGCATAAATTTTGCGATTTGCTAGTTTAGCCGTTATACTAAGGAATGATTAGCATAATTATGTAAAGCCCGCGTAGAATCTCCACGTTCTCATTAATTTCCTAATTATGTAAGGTAATTTAACCAAACTTAATAGAATGGGGCAAAGCAACATTAGTCTCACTGGTACTTAATTTACCCCGTACTTATTTTTACGAAATTGGAAGTTCTTGTTTTATTCATATAATATGGACAGAACGAAGCTACAGTTCACTAAGCTCGATTCTTAAGACACCCTGTTATCTGAGACTTAAAGCCAAGTAGATTACGCCCCCGCCTCAGAGATATTTCCATCTCAGCGGTCGATGGAAAATCTGGAAAGGCAATTTATTGGACATTTGCACAATTAAAGCTGTTGATAATTTGCCAGACTTCTCAATGTCAGCCCACGCTATAGTCTTGACGGGAAGGTTGTTTTCGTTTTTTGTCTGCAATGGACAAATTTTGATATTCTGTAAAGCAATGACAATTCAACTAACGCTTAAAAACGTCTTTGCAAACTGTTTTTCAGTGGTATGAACACCAAACAGAAGAATCTTAAGTAGTTCATGAATTCTTTAAATTAAATTGGGCAAATGATGAAATCGTTTCGTTGAATTAGGAACAAAGCATTTGAAAGAGGTTTTTATACTTTTAGTTTTATCACCAGAAAAGGTCTCTGTGGAAATACTGCTCTCTCTCTCTGCATCAAAGTTCATCAAATCCCCTTAGGCATTTTTAAAACAAGCCATTTGTTCTAGATTAAGGTTTGCAGACGAGTTTTTATATTATTTATTTATTGCAATTGTTTAACTTCTTTTGTGTCTGTATAAGGTTACAGGTAGTCAGGAGATGTGGGTGCTTGTTCTAATGCATTCAATTTAAAGACTGAATTTGACAAATGCTCAAACTTCACTTCTCTGCGTATCGCGAGAAGATGGACAAACCAGTAATTCAGAGAAACTACTTCTTCCTTCTATATATCTTTGTCACCTTTGCAACTAATTCTGAAGGTACATAGACTCTATCTTTTATTTCCTTTATTACAGTTGTTCAGTATATTATGACATGAAAAAAGAATCTAATACTTTCCCTCTCTTCTTTCAAAAAGCTTTCAGTCAAGGATCGATTGGCAACCTTTTCTATGTCAACTTCATGATAAGTGAATTTTCCTACCTAAATATCTCCAGTATTGGGCGGAATCTTATTCAAGACGAAAACGATTGTGGCTACGCCTGTCTAGAAATTCCTTCATGTTTTTCCTACAATGTGGCTGCCTTCCCTGATGTCAACGGCAAACTTCTTTGCGAACTCCTGCCCTCGGACAAGTTTAACAACTCGGACAAGTTCAACGCCAGCAAAGAGTTTCATCACTTTTATATTCCGGTAAGTCAGACTTCTAATTTATCAAAAATCTTCCTTCTGAAGGGAAAATAAAAAGCTTCTTATTGTTTTTGTTTGTTTGTTTGTTTGTTTTGTTTTGTTTTTTGTTTTGACTCTCCTTAGTTTCGAAAGTTAGCATTTGTAAATAAAAATGTATCTTCGCTTGGAAAATCTTGAATGCAGTGGATTACATTGTGCTTTAAATGCAAAGGAATTGACTAACGAGTTTGGCAAGCCTAAAAAGGGTTACAACTGAGTTAAACCTTTCGACTCTTAATTAAATCATCCCGTCGATGCCAAAACATACTTGATGAAATCGATATATTTATCTTTGAATTAAAAGTCGTTTATGAGGGAGGACTTATGAGACAGAGCTCTCAAGTGAAATATCTGGCTACAAAAAGCATTTAGTTTGCAAAACACATTGTCATACCATGAATTTTCCCTATTATTTGTTTGCATATTTGGCTTTTGTTAAAAATTACAGAAACGTTTTAATACTCCTATTATAGGCTAATCTGCTGCCAGTTAGACTATATTACCTCAACTTCTTGAAATTTGGTAGCATCTCTGCAAATTTCCGGGTAGATGAAACAACGCAATAAACCGCACTAAAAAGTCAACTGAACAAACCCAGCGGGGCGTACAAAAGATAAAAATAGAGTGAGCTTGAGCGAAAGGACGGCACAAATAAGACGTCGGCAAAACGCTTGTGTGTGACAAACGTGACAGGCCTATTACCTGCGTGTTTGTTGTGATGTTCAATTAATATAACTGTGTTTTGATCTTTTACAAAGAGATCTTTTAAAAGGAAGGTGAAGTTTGGCGGAAATTGTTTTCAAACAGAATTATTTTCTCGCTTGTCACACAAGATTTGCCGTCTTCATCCATCTGCCGCCCCTTTGCGTAATTTTACTAATGTCATTAAAGTATCGACATTTTTGTCAAGTTCGTTTCTTTTAAATTCATGAAACAATACGAAAAGGAAACGAAGAAAATCAATCCCAACCAGCAGGTTTGTAGGTTTACAGTAAGCTGAATTTAATCCAGGCTTCGGCTCGTTGAAGTTAATAACCTCACTTAATGAAGACAATGAACCCCTATAGTTTTCCTCTCCCACTTTCTAGTGCTTTTCTTGTTCTGTTAGGGTATTATTATGGCAACACAAAGTACCTATAGTAACCTGTTCACCTATGAAAACATTCAGCTGAGGGAATTCGTATCCATTAACGTTCCAGGCAATGCGTGAAATTAACCGAGTAAATTGCCTTGTTGAAACAATTTTTATTGTATCTTAGTTCTTCGTTCTTTTTCGCGTAAGCTATTAATGGCCTCCTATAATGTTTGCCTGTTTCAATGAGATATTGCCATAGCAACGCACATTTAAAAATAGAACTGCCACCTGTAACCATTAAACCGTTCGTGTTTCGTTCGACGTCCCTACTCGGAGATCCTGGACGGTACGGCCACGCGTAAGTTCAACATGGATGATTAAAAACAAGCCTAAAATTTCGAATTTATTAGGTTTACACAAAATCTAGTCATTCGTAGGTTTCTTGACTACAATTAATAGTAACCCTTGCTTTTTAAAACAACTAAAGTTAACTAAATTTTCATAGTACTGTATTTAATTTTTTTTAAGAAAACAAAATTAAAAAGTAAGCATGTTCAACAATTAAGCACTCGTTGAGAGCACGCTTCATGTCATGTCAAAGGCGACGAAAACAGAATGAATTTTTTCTGACATCCTCATCCTCGTCATTTTTCCAAGCTTCTCCTCGTACTTTTTTTCCCTTTAAAAAGTTTATTGGCTGCACATCTCCTCCTGATAAGGACGTTAACATTCACATAAAAGGGATAAAGTACTACTAGAGAAACTGTGATCAGCCGCCTTAAAAGCCAACTGAAAGTCAGGAGGAAAGAATTGCACGTTTTAATTCTTTATAGAATGCATTGAAATGCAATTTAATTGGACAAAGAAATCCACAAAGTATAAGTAATATAAGATGAAATTTCATTAGAATTCATAGCAAAAAGCAAAAAAATGCATTTAAAAGATACCCTGACCAGCTACGAACGAAGGCAAGCATTGGTTCTTCAAGCCATCGCGAGGCCACTCATATATCTGCACCCTGTTCATCCGACAAAGGCTGCGACAAAAAGAATGTATTGACCACAAGCAACTAGCTTGGAGTACAGTACGTGAACTCACTCACTGCGACAAAACCAGCCGCGCTCCAGACAATTTGCATTGATGACCGAGCGAGTTAAATTTATTAAATTACATGAGCTTATTGCATGCCAACTGCAGGGAATTTTAGTTTGTAACGGCGCTAAACATGAAATTCGTATCTTAGAGCACCTGCCGATTGTTTTAGATGTCGAGCAAAGTAGAATCCTGATGAAAGTGTTCACCGCTAAGTTCATGTTTTACTTATTCATTTATTTTTCATTCAGTCAGTCTGTTCGCTGACTAATGACAGTTCTGCTAGACTGAAAAGTAGAATTTGAATTCAGCATCTGTGGAATATGGATAAATGTTATACGTGACGTTACTGAATATTTTAACTTTGACATAAAATAGTCTTTACTTACAGCCGTATCCTTTCCTTTGTGTAGTCTCCTTGTGATAGTTTGCCCTGTAAGAACACTGGAAAATGCATTTCGTTGTACCAGGAAAATGGATATAAGTGTATCTGCGAGAAAGGATTCACTGGAAAAGACTGCGAAACGAGTAAGAAATACTGAGTTGAAACAATGTTGCCTCTAACTAAGATAAAATCACAGGTGACACTATAAACGCACTTTGCAAGTGGGAATAGAGCTTTTGTACGGATTTTAGGTATTATGTTATTGACTTTTACTTCTTTCAGCTCACTACAATAAAAAAATCTAACTGAGAATATTTAAACTACCTTGAAAGAAAAGTCGACCAATACTCTGAACTTTTACTTTTCCTTGACGTTACCCGTCACAAAGTTCAATTTCCGCGCTTGTTCGATACAGTGACTTATTTATAGAAAGGTTTCTAAATGGACCTCTAGAACAACGTTTGCTTTTACTAGTTGTGTTTTGGCTCTTGCTGAAGTCTAATTTACCTTGGCTGAAAGGTACATATCATTTTTTTAAAATATCTTTAATTCTCTCTCCTGCAGATATAAATGACTGTGTCAATATTCCTTGTTTGAACAACGGAACTTGCATCGACCTAATCAATGGCTTCAACTGCAGTTGCCCTCCAGGATTTGCCGGCAACCGATGCGAAATTGGTTAGATACTTGTTGCTGCTAGTTGCATTACATTTCCGCCAAAACCTTCAACTTGCTATGTATCCGTTTAAACACCTAAAAAAAAGTGTTGGACGCTGTTGAATGCTGATGGCCGATAAATATGGATCAATTTTAAATCCTTATTACATTATATATATATATATATATATATATATATATATATATATATATATATATATATGTCCTACATCATCCAACAATTGAAACAATATTAATGATGTTATACTGACATACGTTTTTTACTGGGCGGCTCTAGGGTCCACTGGATTGTTTTGCAATTTTACTGACCTCGAGTTTGTCTCAGTCCATGAAAATACCGAAAACAAAGAACTTGGCAAATAACAACACATATATCTTGGCCGAACAAGTTTGGTCATTAACGCATACTTATTTATTTGCCATTAATTTTTTATTATATTTCACGCCTTCAGATACAAACGAGTGTGCGGAACATTCTCTGTTTGAATGCACTGATCGAAGTAACGGATTCAATTGCAGTTGTCCACCAGGATTTTCGGGCAATCGATGTGAAATTAGTTTCCTGTGTCTAGCTGTTATTTTATTGTTCGGTTTGAAATCTATACACTAACTGTCGGTGTTAGGTCTTTCATGTTTATTTATTGTTGGTTTTGTGAAGAAGAGGTTTATTTGCATTTATAACTTTCTTTCACAACTTTCAATACTATTGAAGAACCCTCCGCAAAAGTGGAATTTCGTTCCTTTTGTTTGCAATTTATCCGTGATTATTGTTTGTTTCAGATATAAACGAGTGTGAGAGCAGTCCCTGTTTGAACAACGGAACTTGCACTGACAGAATCAATGCATTCAACTGCAGTTGCCCGCCTGGATTTTCTGGCAATCGATGTGAAATTGGTTAGTATGGTGTTAAGCTAATTACCCTATAATGATCTCGGAACGTTAAGACGTGCTCAAATGTCAACGCCTATCCCCCACTTCAGAAACTTCAAAGGACATGGGTACGATCTCGGCCAAAATTCATGGTTTGAATTTTCAATTGCTGATTTCAATTTTCAAATTCAGCACTTGAATTTTACAGCTGAATTCAAGAATTTATACTCCTCCTTTAGAATTCACATCATTGGAAAACGTTTTTACCCTTGTCGTTTAGCTTTTGAACTCAACTTTTTTATTTGACCTTGCTCGCGGTGCATTTTCAACTCGCCTTGTCAAATTACACAGTCAAACCATGTAATTTTCAACTTGACGAACAAATTTTTACACACTGCTACTTTTTGTCAGTTTTGATACCTGAACCGGTACTCTACATTTGACGGATATTAGAACTTTGCATTCGATACTTTTTGGCGCATTTTGCCAGTCACAGCGTTATATTTCAAACTCAACCTCGTATATTTTGAACTCAACTTTTGAATTTTTGTTTACGCCTCAGTGCGAAAAAAATAAAGAACTTGGCAAAAAATAAAATGTACATATATCTTGGCCGAACAAGTTTGGTTATTACCGAATATAGAGAATATTTCATGGAAACTGCTGGCGTACGGTGTGTACGCACGAGTTGTTGACGTATCAGAAATCGAACGAGTGAGCGCAGCGAACAAGTAAGATTTCTGATACAAAAACAACGAGTGCGTAAATACCGTACAAAGCACTTTCCATGTGGTATTGTGTTTATTATATACATACTGAGACATTCATCATTTTGGCGGCCTTTTTGTTTTAAATCTTTCTGAAAATGCTAAAATTTGCCGCTACACACTTACCGCAAAATGACAACGAAAACGAAGTATCAGCTTATTAGTAAAAACGTTTGTTAAAAACAAAAATGACGGTAAGGATATGAGGTAATCCAAGAACTATAAGTGAATCTTAACTGTTTGTTCTCAATCCACAATTGAAAATGAGTGAATTTAAGTAAAATGGCCGGTTTCAATATAAGCTTAAGCTTAAATGAAAGGCAAAGTAGCTCCGACAAAAAGCACAGCAAAAGCTTACGTCTCGTTCTGTTTTTCCCTTTCCGCTGTTGTTTCGCCGGCTCTCTACCATTTTCTTTATCGACAGTGAAACTAACGAAACTATTCCACTCCATTTCCGAAATGTTTTTCACTTTTTTAGCGAGAAAAACTCTTCGAGTAAAACTTTTGTCGTTGAATGTGTGCGAAGCGGCGCTGCAAGCTGCAATAAAAGGCGGGAATTTTGGCGCGAAACTCAGACACCTCTATGGCTTCTGATGGGACGTATCATTTTTCTCACGCGTGAAAAAACATCGTTCGCGATTCTGATAGGACGTATCATTTTTGCACGTGTGAAAACCATCGTTCGTTCCTCTGATTGGCTAGAACTAATTTGCGTACGAAAATTTACGACATAGCTTTTTGGTGAGTATTTCTCAGTATCTTTATAATAAACATATTTATTTGTCATTAATTCTTTATTATATTTCACGCCTTCAGATATAAACGAGTATGAAAACATTGTCCACCAAGATTTTAGGACAATTGATGTGAAATTCGTTTCCTGTGTTTAGCTGTTATTTTATTGTTCGGTTTGAAATCTATACACTAACTGTCGGTGTTAGGTCTTGCATGTTTATTTATTGTTGTTTTTGTGAAGAAGAGGTTTATTTGCATTTATAACTTTCTTTCGCAATTTTCAATACTATTAAAGAACCCTCCGCAAAAGTGGATTTTTGTTTCTTTTGTTTTTGTTTGCAATCATATCTGTGATTATTGTTTGTTTCAGATATAAACGAGTGTGAGAGCAGTCCCTGTTTGAACAACGGAACTTGCACTGACAGAATCAATGGCTTCAACTGCAGTTGCCCTCCAGGATTTGCCGGCAACCGATGCGAAATTGGTGAGATACTTGTTGCTCCTAGTTGCATTGTATTTCCGCCAAAAGCTTAATTCGACTTGCTACGTATCCGTTTAAACACCTAAAAAAAGTGTTGAACACTGTTGAATGCTGATGGCCGATAAAATAATATGGATCAATTTTAAATCCTTATTACATTATATATATGGGTCCTACATCATCCGACAATGTTAATGATGTTATACCAACATACGTTTTTATTGGGCGGCTCTAGGGTCCACTGGATTGTTTTGCAATTTTACTGACCTCCAGTTCCAGTCTCGGTCCATGGAAATACCGAAAACAAAGAACTTGGCAAATAATAACACATATATCTTGGCCGAACAAGTTTGGTCATTAACGCATACGTATTTATTTGTCATTAATTTTTTATTATATTTCACGCCTTCAGATACAAACGAGTGTGAGAACATTCTCTGTTTGAATGCACTGATCGAAGCAACGGATTCAATTGCAGTTATCCATCAGGATTTTCGGGCAATCGATGTGAAATTAGTTTCCTGTGTTTAGCTGTTATTTTATTGTTCGGTTTGAAATCTATTCACTGTCGGTGTTAGGGTCTTGCATCACCGTTTATTCATTGTTGTTTTTGTGAAGAAGAGGTTTATTTGCATTTATAACTTTCTTTCACAACTTTCAATACTATTGAAGAACCCTCTGCAAAAGTGGATTTTTGTTTCTTTTGTTTTTGTTTGCAATTTATCTGTGATTATTGTTTGTTTCAGATATAAACGAGTGTGAGAGCAGTCCCTGTTTGAACAACGGAACTTGCACTGACAGAATCAATGCATTCAACTGCAGTTGCCCGCCTAGAGCTTCAGGCAATCGATGTGAAATTGGTTAGTATGGTGTTAAGCTAATTACCCTATAATGATCTCGTAAGGAAGTTAAGACGTATGGCGTACGTTCACCGCCAAAATTCTTGGTTTGTCTTTAAATTGCTCATTTAAATTTTCAACTTTAAAACTTCAATTTTATTTGACCTTGCTCGCTCTACATTTTCCACTCGCTTTGTCAAATTACACAGTCAAACCATGCAATTTTCAACTTGACAAACAGATTTTTATACACTGACACTTTTTATTAGTTTTGATGCCTGAACCAGCACTCTACATTTGACTGAGAAGCCAATTTTGCATTCGATACTCACTAGCCGCGTTTCGCCACCGCGTACCTGTTTCGGTCACTGAAATGAACTTTGGCGCCCTCTAACTGAAAATATTGAACTTCAAAATGTAGGTTTTTCGCGTCCGCCATTACAAATTTATGTTCCAGTGAGCCCACGGCTTGGAGTTGCGGTCTTATAATAAAAAGCTATTGTTGTCTGACTTGTGACGTCATTTCCTGAACACGCCGAGCAAAACAAACCTGAACCGTGAGAAATCAGCGAGCGATTCTCCAAGTTTCGCTCGTCTTCGCCCGATTCTGGAAATTTAAAGGAGAAAACCATCGATTACGATGACTCTGTAGAACCAGCTCCGACTGAATATGAGAAAGTCAAATACTAAGGGTAGCTTAGGCTCATAGAAGGAAGAAATGCACGCTTCACCGAGTCCTATTTTATGCACTTTGTGCCGAGGGAGATTCGGACTACTGGTAGGTGTACTACGTACTGGCTATAAAAATAAAACACAGGCAAGAAAATCGAGAGTCCGCACTAATGTCACCTACCTTCTAGCCACTCTCGAGTGCTCATTTAATTTATCCAAGTTTAGATAAAGTTTTGCTTTTAATATAGCAATTCAGGCACAGCGAATCAGAGTGGGTTCGAGAGTGGGTACAGTTTTCAGCTCACCTAAGTTTCAGTTTCAAAGCAGCTCGTTGTCCTTTTTTTTGAAAATTTGATTGTTACTTTAGTGTTATGTATCTCAGCCGATGATTTAGATCTAATGTTAAGTTCTCTATACAGTGTGCCATAAATTCACTAGCATTTAGGAAGAAGTGTTACTCAGTGGAAATTATGTTCATCATGGCTGAGGCCCATCCTTGATTGTGCTCTGTTGATTTTTCTTGCTAATGGTTTTTCCATTGTAAAATATAATTAGAAACAAGTATTTCAAGAGATCAAACCCCTTACATTCCCCGCAGAGTAGTTTTTAAAGTGTGGGGGGCCAGTGACCACTTACTTTGAGGTGGGGGGGGGGGGGGGGAA